GATGCACATTAGCGAGAAGGTCCATCTGCCGAAGAGCAGAGTGTAGACAGTCCACGGGACGCTTAGTACAGTCGATGATCACCTCAGGCTGCAAGTGAGCGTCGTTCAATGATGACGGTCGCACAGGGCTCCTGACCCATGTCAAGTAACGCTCAAGCGGATCGTGATTGCGGTCATCGCTGCTGCGTTGCATACTGGCGTCGGCTGGTTCCGAGAAGATGCTTCTGCGCTGACTTCTGAGAGAGACTCTGTTTCGAAGTCTTTCCTCAAGTATATCGATATCAGAGACAGACATTCTACATTCAACGTAGACGTATTTGTAACCGTGTTGCTTAGCCAGCGCAATTCCTTGCTCCAGAGTTTCGGTATAGTTGCAAGTACTATCAATGATGACATTCCGTCCTTCCGTGATCGAGTCCTTAGCGAGGGACCATTGAGAATCGTATGCAAGCGTGGCCGAAGATTGAAAGTTGTTTCCCTTTTCGAGAAAAGATGACTTGAGAATGTCATGATTGATGACCACGGCGTGACAGTGGCGTGCCAGAAGATTGGCCAAGGTGCTTTTCCCAGACCCCGGTGGGCCAGACATTTGGATAAGTAATTTGTAATTAGTCTCCATAGCAACGGAAGTAGCTGAGGATTGTCAGAAGGTCGTCCGTGTAGGAAGCTATTCGGGGCGTCAAGTAAGATAACTTACACTGCGAACGCCCAGGCGCCACAGGTCGTCAGAAAGGGTTTGGTAAGAGGTTGAGTGGTTGCAAGCAGAGGCAGAGTCTTCAAAGGGTACAATGGGAACCTTGAACGAAGATGAAGTGGGATTTGAGGACCTGATGGGCTTTAATTCAAAACTTAGGAACCTTTATCCCAGAAGTCAAGACTGAGGGAACTCTGAGCGGGTCTGCCAAAGAGCTGTGTTGTTTCCCAAGGGTCAAGTCAAAAGATGCAATAGTCGTGCTCAGACTCGCACATCAGGATATTCACCAAGGTCGGAGCAACGTCGGGCTGAATCCCACACCTGGCTCCTTCACTGTCACCGATTCGAGCGATGGCGCACGGTCTTACGGTGGGCGAGAGACTTGACTTGCATCGAAAAACTTGCAAGGAGTGTTGATAAGACGATACCCTGACAAGTTCGGAATTCTTACAAGATAGGAAGGAGCTAATTTGTTGTTCCTTGCTTATCTTGTGCAGTCGCCGGTCGGGCTGTAATACCAACGTCCGTCGTGCCTTTTTGCTTGTCAGTTCAATGTTATCAGCATCAATTCGACCCCATGACTCTTACTATTGGTTGATTACAACGTGCCATCAAGATAATTTGATGACCTGTCATTTCCAGTATTGTGCTCCAACGGCATCTACCCTACCCCCGAAACATACCTACCCTAGGGTAGTCTTGCTCGGTAAATACGTTGGTAGGAACGTTGAGTATTCGCTGCAGCCATTATGTCAATGATGGTGGTACCAATGCTTTGTATCACACTCTCTGTCTTCTGCCGCCAACCTGTAGTCTCCAGAAAATCGTCGTCTCCAGCAAACTTCCATCCCACTCGTCACAAAGACCTATCTTCCGTCAAGACTCGTTATCTTCGACGAGTACCAGACGCAATGAGCTCGTCAAGAAGAGTGAACAAACTGGTTAGTACCGATTCTATCCTTTGCTGTCAGTGTCGATGCCTGCCTCTCCACCGTTTGAGCTTGTTTCTGTCTTGCATCTGCGAGAAACTCTTTTACCCGATTCAAGCTTGTGGCTCTCTCTTCTCTCTTCTCTCTTCTTCGTCTCCTCTTAAGACCTCCACTAAACAGAACCGAGCCGAACCTAGTCAAACCGAACCTTCGATTGCGAAGGTGAAGGGAAGCTTCTAGTAGTTAGAAATATAAACTAACTATTTAAACTTAAAATACTTCTTAAATTAATATTAATTATCTATTATACTTCTTTTATTCTTTCTTAAATATAAAGTTAAAAGATTTATAATTATAATTTTTTAATTAATTTTTATTTAATTATTTTATTATATTATAATTTAGTTTAATTTTTAACTTTATTTAAACCTTTTTTTAAACTTTATAAAACTTTTATTTTTATAAGTATAAACTTTAATTTAAAACTTTAAACTTAACTTTAAGATTCTTATAAATTTTAATATATTTTAAATTAAGTTTATACTTTAACTTTTAAAATATATTAATTATTTTAAATAATAATAACTTTTTTAAAATAAAAGTTTATTTTTATATAATTATAAATTTAATTATTAATAATTATTTTTTTATTTATAAATTATTAAAATTATAAATTTAAATAATAAAGTATAATTATTTTATTTAAAAGTTATTTTTAATTTAATAAGTTAATTAAGTAATTATTTTAAATAATTTTATTTAATAAATATTTATTTAAATAAAGTTAAAACTTTAATTAAAAGAATAATAATTTTTATTTTTATTTATTTTAATTAACTTATATTTAAATTATATAATAATATTATATATAATATTTAATAATATTAAGATTAACTTATAATTTATAATAACTTTAACTTTTAATAAATAAAATATAATTTAATATATTAATATTAAAAATATTTTTAATAATAAATAATATTATAAATAATTATAAAATTATTATAAAAGTTTTATATAATAAATTTAATTATATTAATTTTTAAAAATATATTATATTTTATTTTTTAAAACTTTAATTATTTACTTAATTTAATAATAAAATTAAAAATATAAATAATTTATATTTAAATTAATAAAATATATATTAAAATAAAATTATTAAATTATTTAATTTTATTAAAATTATTTTAAAATTATTTTAAAATAATTTATTAATTATTATTATTATTATATTTTAAAATTAAAGTTTTAATATTTATTATTTATTATATTTTTTATTTATTAAAAATATTAATAAAATATTTATATATTTTATAATTTTTATATATTATAAATATAATCATTTTATATTTAAAATATAAAAAAACTTAATATATTTAATATAGTGAATTATAACTCTATTTAAGATTTTAATTTAACTTTAATCTTATTTATAATGCGGGATAAGGAGGGGGGGAGGTACATTAGGGAAGAGTGTATGTGGTCGCAGGACGCGGAGCTCATCTAATTGCGAAACTGACGACAGTGATTTCAGAAACGCTTCTCATGAAGGACGACTTCTCCTGCCCATTGTCCGTAACTGCTGTCGGATACAAAATGTGGTTCGAGAGAGGCAACAACATAACCGAGCCCTTCTTGCTCGGGCTTTGATGGCTGCAACGTCACTAGTTCATTCCGATATCGTTCATTATCATCCATCCGTCCAGCGTGCCATCGTCCTCGGTAGGATCAATGAGAAACCCCGTGTTTGGATTCAGATACTGGTTTTCAAGTCTGTCCAGTCCGACGAAAGTGCCGCCTGGTTTAGGAATTATTATCAGCAAGCGACATATTGCCATGTTTCAAATGGGAGTTGAGACACAAGAAATTACCGCATGCACTCACGTTCACCCGAGCCTGGTGTTCCCTGTAGAGCCATTCCACTGACTGGGTAGCTGTGCATCACGCCGCTGTTGTTGGAACTGTTCGCGAATGTGTCATTCTGAACGACTGGTACCGCTGACAACTCTTCATGTGATTCCAGGGAAGGCACTTTTTGCGCCGGCGGGCCGACGCCGAACTTTGCAAGAACCATGTTCACAATTTCAGACCCTTTCTGAGCCTCGAGCGAGGTAGCGCTTCCCTGGAGCCAAATGCTTCTAGTTTTCTGCAGTGACTCCTTGATCTCTTCATCGCGGTGCAACGTCTGGCCCCGGTGTAACAGCATGCAGAGGATCGTCGTGGCCGTCAAGAACTGATGGTTCATGATGGACGTCATCCGCCAGCGCATCATTTGGAGCTGCCCACCTGGGCGAGTCTCCTCGTCGAGGATGTGCTGTATTTTCAGGGTGCCTAGGCATGCATCCAGGCAGGTCTTGCTTGAGTAGACGGTCTCATCTCCCCCTCGGCGCAGGAAGCGACGGTGCAGCATTATCTGGCCCTTGTAAAACATGTGGCCCAGGAACAATCGCGACATAATCAGCTGCGGCGGGTCTGTTATGCTGGAGGCTATGGGGCGCATCCTTAGTGGCGGTGGAATGCTTGCGAGGGCTTCGTGGAGAACGCCATCTACTCTCATCACTTCCGCGTAGTTGCATGGCTTTGTGGCAGCTGCGAGGTCGGAGATGGCTCCTAGGGCAACTAGCATTCGCCTTCTAGCGATGACGCCGAGAACAGTGGTGTGCTCGGTCTCGGGTCGTGCTGCTGTGCGCTCCCAGGGCGGCCGAGGTCGATGTCAATGTCGTGTAGATTTTGCGGCTCAACTGTGTCCCATTGCCCGTCTACAATCATGCGTGGCATCCCCATCTGACTTGAAAGTAGAACGTCGCCGAGTAAAACCGTCACCCAAAGCCGCCGGCGCATCTCAGCCTCGAGCAGCGATATGCCTGCAAAATGACTGGGGTCACGATGATAGCCCATACGCTTGGCTAGGTTGACTTCCAGCGCGAGGAGATACCAGATGTCCTTGGATGAGTCTGCGTGAAAAAGCATCTCCACGTAGACATAATGGACCATGACCTCCAATACATATGGGCCGGATTTCGAATATTCTCCCAAGACCAGGCACTGGACTGCGCTGTCGCGGTACGACTCAATTTTCAGTCGCTGATCCTCCATCTCGTCGCCAGCCGTAGAGCCAGAAACACCCGTAGCCATTATGGCCAGACAGATTATACCAAAAAGAGTCCGACCCACATGATAGGAGTCCCGGAAGTATCAACCCAAAAGGCATCATAATGCGAGGACAGCGGTCAGTTTCGAGTTCCCCGGAGTATCACATTTGATCAGGGCCATGCAACACCTACATCGCGGAGGAAGCTAGGGCCATGAATAGCTGCAATCTCAATGGATGTATCAGCTCGGGTCTTTTGCAGCCCGGAGTCAACCTTGGAAGCAGGGAGTGAAGACCTTACTCGAGGCAACCAAATCGACGCAGTTGAAGTAGCGCGATACGTAACGGTCCAATACATCCTTGGGTGGCAATGAGGATAGAATCTGCTCCCGGGAGAACATTTGGCGGCAACCATAAAGGAGCAGGGCACCCCGTTTTCCGACGGGAGGATGCTTACTGCCGTGGTGAGGATCCTCATCGTGACTCGTGGTTGATTTGAGCTGCTCTTGCTGATCAAAGTGATTCTTCAATACGGCTATGTTGTCCAGAATCGCCGCCCAATGCTCATTATTGACATAATGTAACTCGGAGCCGCTCAGACGCATCATGGAGCCGCATTCGGACGACTCGGCTGCGGCAGCATTGGCCTCGAAAGGCTGGTTTTGGAGATCCGTTGCGGTCTGTCGCATCCCTGGTTGGGGATCAGACTTATTCACAGAATTCTGGCTGATTTGCGTGACCAGGCGTTCTAGCTGCACGACTCGGTCCTGCATTGCCCGCACCGCATCGGGCGACGCCTTTGGAAGCAGGTGTGCCAAAACTCGCTTCTCAGGTGCGTAGGCACACAGCTGGCCTCGCAGAGCACAGGTAGAGCACGGTTGCTGACGGTCACATTTTGTTCTGTATTTAACAGAAGACACTGCTTTAGTCTGGCTTCACATTCAAAGTCCGAATCTGCAAACTGAAATTTGGACAATCCGGTGTGGTGAATGCCGACTTACTTGCGTTGACGGCAGATATTGCATGAGAGCTGTGGTTTCTGTCTCCTTCTGCCCGTTCTCAGGTCGGCTCGGACGCGAGGACGCGTCCCCACTGGTGAGCAATCGGTGGCATCCTCGTTGGCACTCTGGGCGTCATCCATGCCCCTAGCTAGTGAAAGTTTTGTCGTTTCGACGTCCTTGACCATGTCTGCCCTGCCCAGGTGGGGAACAGCCCAGCCACGGCGGCCGATATTGTGGGTGAATTATGCGCCACCTCAACGTACCTGGAAGCCTTCTTCGGTGAATCCCACCGCTTCAACCGCTCCACACATGCGCAGCTCTTATAATTACCGAGAATTTGAAGGTCAGATTCGAGGGAGGTGCCTCGCGCATGAGAGTGGTTGATTCCTGCCTGCGGACGGCAACATCAAAGGATTCCCAAGGTTGCCTATCTGCGGCTCAGGTGATTGGCTGGCGTGTTCTCTAGGCAGGGTTGACACAACATTATAATCCGGACTGTATGTAGGTCAGCGGGGTCTGCAGGATTATTGAATATTTGTAGTAGTGGCGGCTAAAATGAAACTGGGGCACTGGTTATCTCTGATATATAGACCTCCTTAAGCCCGCACCTTTGGCTGTAGACTCCCCACCTATTCTGGGTAGGGAGTCTACACCTGAAAATGTTAGTGACTGCTAAGTCTTATATAAGTATAGCTAGGAGGTAGGGGATAAGAAGTGGGTAATAAAGGTTTATAATTAAAACGTAATTATAGTTATAATAAAGGAAGGAGTTATATTTAAATAAACTTTAATTTATTTATATTATTATTAATTTAACTATTTATTATTAAATATTACTATTTCTAAAATTACCTTAATATAGTAATTTACCTAATACTACTCTTATTATATATATAGTTATATATATTAAGAACTATAATTAGTTTATATTTTAATAATTATTAAAATAGCCTAACTTATATTATATTTAGTATAAATTAGTAATAATTAATACCTTTTTAATATAGTTATATATAGAACGATATATTTAAGTTATTAAACTTTCCTTTAAATATATTAAACTTCCTTATATTTAGTTAGTTAATAGACTAAGACTATAATAATATTAAGTATAATACTAAAAATATTATATAACTTAATTTTAAGCGTGAATCCGCTATATATAATAACTACTCTTTAAGTTTTATTAAGAGTAACTTTAATAGTAAAGAAGAGTTAGAGGAGGAAGAACTATTTTAATATTATAATAATATTCTTAAAGATATTATTTTTTAAACTTAGAAACTATAAAAAAGGCTACGCTATAATGTATATAAAAATAAAGAGAGGAATAGAAACTAGATATATAACCTTTAAAGCTTCTTAATTAGATAGGTATATAAGTTATATTAGAGGTATATTCTTATTAATATATTAAGCAATCTAATTATCCGTGGTTCTTTTAAATTAATAGGTATTACTATTTATAAACTTAATATTAATATAGTTAATAACTTAATTATAGTAATAAGGAAAGAGATAGTTACTTTAAAGAGGGAAGGTTTATTTTTAAAGTTTAATTTATTTAAGGATAATTAACTCTCTTAACTATATAGCGATATAGCCTAATTATTAGAGTTAGTTATTAATGCCGACTATTTATAATAAAATATTAATTATATATAGATAGACTTAAAGAAGAATGTATTAATACTTACTATCCTTCTATTATAACTCCTTTAAAATTAAAGAACTAAATACTAGATTATTTAAAATCTAGCTATTAATAAGAAGAAGAAAGTATAAATAGTTATAATTATTTTCTATTTAATATATAGTTTTATATATAAAGATAGCTTATTTATTTAAAAGGTTATAAAGTTATACTTTATATTAAATAATATAAATATATAAGTTATTAATACTTTTATTAATAAGTTTCTTTTATATAAACTTTTACTTTATATTAATAGAAAGTCTATCGTTTTTAAAGGTCTAATTAATAAGTATAAATATAGGTATTTATTCTTTTATTTTATATTAAAAGCGTTATTAAATTATAAGTAAAGTAGAATATATTTTTAATTTATAATAAACTTCTTATTTAATTTAAATAAAGAGTCTACTATATTTAAATATAATATTTACTATTAATAAAATATTTAATTACTAATATTTTTAAGTTTTAATATTTATTCCTTTTATTAAACTATATATAAAGTGTTAAATTATATTTAAAAATAACTAAATATAACTTTTATCGTTATATATATAATTTAAAAATAGTTATTTAATATAATAACTTTAATTATTTTAATAGGTTTAAAACCTTATTAATAGTAAATAAAACTACTTTATTAACTTTATAACTACTATTTACTTTAATATATTTAAGTAATAAAGTAGCTATATTTAATAAATAAACTTTAACTTATAATATAAGTTTATTATAACTATAATCTAATAATACCTTTTATAATACCTAATTAGCTTTAATTAAATATTAATATAACTTATTTTAAGTTTTATTTATAAGCTTTTAAGTAAAAGAAAGAACTTAATATTAAAACTCTCTATTATTAACTATATAGATATATACTTCTATTATATATTATTTTTAAGTAGAAGTAATTTATAAAAATAAAAGTAAAATATTAAATATATATAATATTTATAATAAATTATTTAAAAATATTTATATTTTAATAATAAATTCTTTATAAAATATATCTTTTAATTTATAATAATTATAAGATTACTAACTATATATATTATATTAGGAATAATTAATAAGAATTATAAAATATATATAAAAATATTAGTAGATAAAGGCCTTTCTTACTAACTTTTATATTAAGCAACTATATTAAATTACTTTTTAAAACTATTATAATATTAAGAACTTAATAGTTAAATTTAAGGTTATAATACTTTATAATATTTAAGTTTTAATTTAAATTAAATTTATTAATAAGAAGAATATTAAATATTATAAAGTTATACTACTCTTTTATTATAGTTTAAATATTTAATTTATTACTTTAATTATCTATAATCTATTTATATATAGTTTAATAACTAAAAGGATAAATTTAAGTTTAGTTACTATAAGTTTTATAAAATTATAAAGAATATCTTTAATATTACTTTAAATAAAATTTTAAATAAAATTTAAAGCTTAGTCTTTAATATAAAAATAAATTAATAATTATAAAAATAGAAATATTATTAATATTAAATTCTATAACTAATATTAATATATATAATATATTAAAATACTATTAATCTTTAATAAAATAAATTAATAAAGTAATTATAAATTAATTTATAATATTATAATTTAATTATTAATATTCTTTTAAAAATAAGTTATATAATTATAAACTAGAAATATTTAATATAGTATAGCTTTTAAATAAAAAGTTATATTTAAGTAATAAATTTAAAATAATATTCTTAAAGTTAATATAATTAAATATATTACTATTAAATATAAATTTAAATTTATTAATTAAGCTAGTAAGTATATTAATTATAACTATACTAATAATATTAAATATAATAAAAACTTAATATATAATATTTAATTAATTTTTACTTAACTTATATAATATAGTTTATAAGTAATAGCTATTTAAAGAGTTATTAAATAATCTTTTAATTAATATTATAAAAGTTTATATATTAAGTAACTTAATAAATAATATTCTTTAATATAATTAAAAGTTATTTTTAATAATATATTTAAGTAAGTATTAAGTTATAATAAGTTTAACTTTTAAATATATAATTAAAAGATAAGAAATATTATTTAATTAATTAAATAAGTAAAATAAGATATACTTAAAGTTAGAGTTAAATAGTATTATATTAAAAGTACTTACCTTTAAAAGGAGGGACTAAATAAAGAGAGCTTTTAAATATTATTAGTAATAGTAACTATTTATATATAGTAAATTATAATAATATATAAGATATCTATATATATAATTTAATAGTAAATAAATAGAGTAGTTTTTATATTATAAAACTTTTAATAAATTAAAGTATAAACTTTTATTAAA